GCAATGAAGTGTTTACGATTCAGTCGGTGCTCCCCGCTGGAGTGACTTGCGAAGGCGACTCTCACTGTGTTCTTCGATGGCACTATGTCGGGTGGAACAACGCGGATGTGGGCATCGACGGCCAAGAACAGTATTGGAACTGCGCCGATGTGTACATTAGCAACACGTGCGGTACGGCTCCTGCACCTAGCTCAGCGAACACCGCCTCCAGCTCCCTTGGACTTAACGCTTCCAAACCTACCTCGGCCCCTGCACCTAGCTCATCCATCCCCACCTGCGCTCCTGAACCTATCTCTTCCAAACCGACTGCTGCCCCGATGTCGAGCTCTTCCAAGCCGTCCTCCACTAGCAGCCCCCAACCCACGCCGCAGGATTCTTGTGGCACTTGCAACAACTGCTACTATCCCGGCACGAACTCGTGTTTCATACATTGGTCGGCCGCTGAATGCGCACAAGTTGCTGAATACAAATGGTGCGGACCGGCTCCTTCGCCTGCCCCCGTCTGCGGCACATGCACCAACTGCTACTACCCTGGCTCGAACGCGTGCTACATTGGTTGGTCGGCGGCTCAATGCGCGCAAAATCCCGCGTTCAACTGGTGTGGCGCCAATGCGGTATTGCCGAGCACCAGCACCCCCACTACAACCTCTCCCAGTAGCTATAAGCCTACCACTACCCAAGATCCCAGCGCTAAACCCACCACATCACCAATTGCCGCGCCCACGACTACTGCTGCTACTCCTTTACCTTCGTTAACTGACGAACCTGTGCCAACCACCACCGCGTCTACACCTACGGCCGCACCTGCAACTGTAACCGTCACCCCTAAAACCACAACAGCTGCACCTACTGTAGCCCCAACATTGGCACCCACCACCTCCCGTCCAATGACCCCTCCAGTTACAGCATATCTGCCACATGCTAGTACAGCTGCACCTATGACCCCCACACCTGTCAATGCAATGCGGGATCAATTGATCAGTCAACACAACAAAATCCGAGCCGCCCACGGCGTTGGCCCTGTGACGTGGGATGCTGCGTTGTCGTCCAAAGTCCAAGCTTGGGCTGAGAGCTGCCCTGGGTTTACACATGGGGGCCCCGACGGTTATCAAAACTTGGCCACATATACCCCCTGTGGCACGAATCCCCCTTGTGACAAGGTGGTGGGGGCATCATGGCTATGGTACAACGAAGAAGAAACGTTCTGGAACTACGACAGCAACACGTGCAACGGGCTCTGGAAGACGTGCGGCCACTTCACCAACCTGATCAGCCCCGAAGTCAATTCTATTGGGTGCGGGTGGCACCAGTGTGGCAACGGCAATTACGTCTGGTGCAACTACAACACCCCCGTGAAGAAGCCCAAGGTGTCCCGCATCCGTGGCATCACCAAGGCCCAATTGCTGGCGAGTTTAACAGACTAGATATTTCGTATTTGAGTTGTGGTCCTACTAACGTTAAGATGGAAAACAATTGCATGTATATACCTGTGGTTTCAAACACATGTTGGCGTTGGCTCCGATCAAGTTGGCAAACAATTGAGGGACAGCACGTTATATAGCTGCCCGTCCGTGGTCCGCCACGTGTACATGATGGTGATAGATCCGCAGTTGTACGTAAATGTGGCGGTCTTTTCGCAGTCGGCGGGTATGTCTTCAACGAAGTCAGGGGAGCCGAACGTCAAGAAGTTCCATGTCACATGATTCGTGACTACCGATGCGGACGGACCCCCCGACGGAGGTGGAGGCAACCACTACTGGAGGCCACAGGTGCTGATTTAGCACAAAAGTCTACATTTTGGGTAAAAGGAAGGACAATAGCATGTCCATGTATGATTCCGGTGAAATTTGCTGTTTTGGGGTGGTTTGACCCTTTGAGGTGAAGTGGCAATAAATCGACATCACGATTTCATTCGCCAAAAATATCGTAATTCAGCCAATCAAACATTATTTTCCTGAGTCTGGGAAATGACCAGCAGGAACTGAAAGTCGCGGCGACACGGCAGCGTGAGCGCCGACACAGTTTACCACTGCCTATTCGTCTATACAGTAGCCTCGGGTTCTCGTGCAAACATGTACTACGTCTCATGTTTTCTATTAGCTACAGTGGCTGTGAAAAGTTTAAGTCCACCTGTCAAAATTTCGAAAATTTCAGATTATTTCTAAAATATTTGTCACGTTGACACGAGTCTTGATCCATTCGATTCATACTGCATTGGCTAACAAGTTCAACAATCGATGACGTAAAACCTGAAGAACAGCTGGCTAAAATTGAAGTCAAACTTTGTACCACTCTCAAAAAGTTTAAGTCCACATCATAGTACGGCGACATTCAAACACAAACATGATCTCTAATCATCTACCATCACC